ATCACAAATGTAAAACACATATTAAAATCACAAATGGCCATCACATTCTGTGTGGGAGAACCACAACGTCCAATGTAGGCTACTTTGTCGGTTCCAGATACACGTGCATCAACGTGAGTTCCATCAATAGCTCCTATACAATCCTAAATATAAAAATGTTTCAATAATTAATGAATGAGAGTTTCAATATAAAAATGTTTCAATAGCTCATATACAATCCTAAGTTAGTAATAAGATGTTTAAGATATACCTTGAAAAACGACATGTAACGATTGTCATCCGCAATTTGTGTAGGGATAAATTGAAGTGTGGGATCTTCAGGCTTAACTATCTTAGAGGCTAAACTTACTAGTGCATTCAGACCAATGGAGAAATACCTGCTGATAGTCTCCGATGAATGTTGAAATCGCTCAATGGCTCCTCTAATGGACTCATTTTGAGATAAAATATAGAGTGTAATTGCTAACACCTCTCTTGATGTCATTCTAGTAGAGCTATTCAAAACATGATTGTGTTGTAGTTCGCAGAGCAGATCGATGAAAATCTCTTTCGTCATACGAAACATGTTTGTAAAACGTGTCGGATGGTCTTGTAGTAGCTCACCGACTCATTTATCACAACATATGTTGATGTCATACATGGAGTTCGTTTGATGTATGTGAAGTAGTAGTCATATAACAAAGTAATAATAAACACAATCTTTCTAACATAGTGCAAATGTTCTGGATTCATCCTACCAAAAGTAGTTCAAAGATAATAGTTAATACCTTCAAATATTTAAAGACATCTAGATGCAACAGTACAACCAGTACAATCAGTACAAAAAATTTTAAGTAAAAACATCTAGTTAAATATAAAGAGTGAAATAAAAGAAGTGCTAGGAAAACAAATAGCAATCCACGTTACAACAATACAAACAGTTTTAAGATAATGAAACGACAAGCTTTCTAAACATTCAGTTCTCCATGAAGGAACGTAAAAAATTGACTTGATATTCTGCCTCCAACTTCACAAAAAATTCTCTACGGACTGGATCTTGTAGTAACTTAACACAGTTGAGATAAAATTTTCTATCTTCCTTCACCTCAGCATGTGTATTTTGGATTCGAAGACACCCCTCAACGGATACATCCTGTGATGCATAAAGCTTAACAGAGCAGGATTCAACAAGCTTTTCGATTGTGCTTCTGACGAATGCCGCTCATTTCTTCTTTTTCCCCACCCTACGCCATTTTGGAATGGATGAGGACTCAACAAGCCTTTCATCAACTGACCTATGGATTTGACAAGACACTTCTCCTGAGCCACTTATATTATCATTTCCAAGAGCATTAGTTGTGCCAATAAACTCATGTTCAGATGGGGTGAAAGCATGTGTTCCCGTTGCAACAACCCCTTTGAATATACCATCCAACTTCTCTTCCGTTACTGGATCAATACAATTCACTTTGAATTTCTTAGCTGCTGGCACGACCTGCATGGTGAAGAAAAGTTAATTAGTAAAATCATTTCAATATAACTCAAATTGAAATAAGGAGATGATATAGGGTAAGTCTTTACCTGTAGTTTCTCAGCCCACCACTCCTCAGGAGCATCTATCGTTCGTTTCAATGTATCCCAGCCCAAACCTGTAGTTCCCCTCTTAAGTTCTTTCTAAATTTTTCAATCCTTCTTTAATCGATCTCACTTGTTCTTAAATTTCATCCTATTGTAGTCTCTGTCTGTGAGTTCATTAAATTTGACAGAAACATTATTCCAATATTCTTTGTTAAAATATGTCGTAGGTCTATTTCCTAGCTCCACCTCCTTAAGACAGAGATCACAGAAAATATTTGTTGTTTCCCTGTCCCACATCGCAGATGATCCAACTTCTCTGCCCTTATTCATTGTGGTACTTACTAGTGAAAGGTTAAATAACAAAAAAATGCATTTAATAACATGACCCTAAAACTCCAATACTGACAATCATTTTTAATATTATATACATATATATGCCAATATTACAAAATAAAACATGAGTTTATCCTTCAACCCTTAATTTCAAAAGGAAACCTTATATAGTATTATTTGGATATAGTAAAATTTTATAAATCAAACCATTTTCCCCAAATATTATTATGAAAGCAAGCCCTCCAAGTTCTTTGAAAAAACATGCCAACCCAAAATGTCATCATGCGAAATTAATGAGCCTCAAATGCTAAAAAGATGCATGGTGGTAATTCTATTATGAAAACAAGCTCTCCAACTAATGAATGAGGCTAAAAAATGGATCAACATCCTCATTTCATTTACAAGGACGAATCACATAACATTAGATAAAAAATAAATGAATATTTTATCACATATTCGTTCATCTACCTCTCCTTGCAAATGAAAAATTCTTAATGCGAAGAAGAGGAATAAATGGGCAAGGAAGAAGTTTTACCTTCCGACAATGTCGAAGAAGGAGCTTGCCGACGAGGAAGAACAGGCCGAACGGAATCAGTGAAGGCATACCTAAAAATCGGGGATGAGATTCTCAGGGAAAGATTTAAGAGGGAAGAAGAGATGAATGAGAGGAGGTAAGATCGAGATTTCTTACCAAAGTCTGAGCAAGCTGCCTTTGGCGAAGGCAGAGCGGAGCAAGGTTTCCTCGGCGGAGGCGGCAGAGCTGAGATTTGGCGGAGGCAGACCGAAGCTTCAGCGGAGGAAAGCGGGTCTTCGGCGGAGCGGAGGAAGACCAGAGAGTCGGCGACGACAAAGCGGTGCTTCAGCAGAGGCAGAGCGAAGCTGGAGGCGGAGGCGAGCGGATCTGGAGTGCGAATAAGGTTTTAGGGCAAGAGGGGTGGGTGCGTAAAATATGCCCCAATCGCGCGTTCGAAACGCTGATCGCGGGTCGATACCCGCGATCAGCTTTTTTCCAAATCGGAAACGCGATTATAAAATAAGCTGCGCAAACGCGCAAAACAAACGGTATAAGCTACCCCAAACGGGCCCTAAGTGTCACACATGTCACAAGAATATTATATTCAGCCAAAATTTTCCTTTTACATGTCTCAAATCCCTATCATAACCACCAAATAGAAATAAAAAACACTCCATGAAATAGAAATAAAGAGGAGAATCACATGAATAAATACCTGAATTGTAAGCCATAACTCCCTCTATTTGTTATAGTTATGGAAGCCACAACAAAAACACTCCCAGCACTTGCTACATTTTCTTTTAAGTCACCACGCGAACCAAAATGGCAACTATCTTGCAATTCTAGTTGTAAAAATCACAAAAAACTACAATTCCGCAACGAAGGTGTTGATTATGGCTCAATAATAACGAATTGGCCCTAAAATCCTTAATTAAAAAAGAAAAAATTGAATGAACATGAAATAAGCAAAAAAATTAATTTTTTTGATGAGTTTCAGATGAGTTTCAACAGCAACAAGAGGTCTGTTGTTGGCTTGCGTTCTAAGATTGCATAATTCCATGACATACCCTTTATGATTAAACTTTCAGGTAAAATTGAAAAAGATATTGCAGCTGCTTGTAAAGTCATGATGGATAACACAATTTCTTTGAAGAAATGATAGTTATTATAATCATCATTAGATTCATCTCTACTATTTGGGAGTTGGTTTCATGAATTCTCATTTTCTTCATTCATTTCTCTTGAGTGATGGACGAGATGTTCAGCATATTCTTTGCAAATTATTTTGAAAAACTTGGATAAGTTATCTTAAATTTATCCATTTTCTTCCAGAATCCTTTAAGACTAACTTTACCTAACGGTTTATGAGCATATTTTCTAACCCTCATTGCACAAGTCCAAACTACCTAAGTCCGATTATAACTACTTTATCTTCAATAGTTATTATTTCAAACATCACATAATCCCATTCCTCAAATTATCATTCTTAGTTATAGCACTCTCACACCTATTCCAATAATCTGACAAAAAGTGTGCACAAAAATTGTTTATCTACTAGTACACCAAACTGAAAGACAGAAGGGATCCTTTTAAATCGGTATAACAACTATAACATTTTTAAGAAGTTCATTCCACTCATCATTTGATAACCGAGATGGGGATTTCCTTTGGTCTGTTATTTCCCAAAGAAATATATGGGAGACTAGATAATGATGTAGAATGAAACAGCATGGTAAATAAATAGATTAGCAGACTATAAAAAAATTGCAAGGGAACTAAAACGAATCATTTGAAAAAAGATTACATATTTATAAACCCAAAATATTTATGGCCTGAAAATTAAAGCAGTACATGTTTCAGCCAGCACTCCTGGTACCAATGTTCATATATGTCGGGTGACTAGCATCCAAACTCTGAAGGGCAATAAACCCAAATATTGCACTTTATTTGCCCAACCTTGGCATTTTTTGCTTGATCAATGCATGCCTGACAACAATCAGCAGCAGTTTCTTTATGATGAGTAAGATCCCATCTGATAGCAGCACCATCATAATTGGTATGAGGCTCAGCGCGGCACTCTGATGAGAGAGGAGGAGCAGGAACGGTATTCTCCTCTGACATAAATACAATAATAGAATGAATAAATCATTGGAAACATTAAAAAGAAAAAAAACTATGTTTTTCCAGTTAAGTCAATTCAGCAGAGCATAACTGTGTTCAAAATATAGAGAGATTGATTTTGGTCGTGCCAGCATATGGTAACTCAATGTTCACAAAGTAAAAATGAAAGAAAAAGCATGTTATTTTAGAGAAATCAACTACCGTCCTCAGTTGCATTTTCGGGTCTGTCATCTATCTCGTAATTATTAACAGCCGATGGGATCCAAAGGCCAATATCTTCAAGTAGTTTCACCCTATCAGATTCCAACGCATCTGTAATCAGCTCTGCAAACAAAAATGGCTTTAACCATCACGAACAAGCAGCTTACAAATTCATGTAACTGAAAAAATGAGGCATGGATTATAATTAGTGAATTTACCACTTGAAAGCTTTATACAAAAAAGGGTAATAATGAACATACTTGCTTCTTTTGCAACCATACTAGATTCTGCATTTGAAATTGGCAATCCCTGCTTCAAGGCTTTTAACTGCTCGGCAAGCCATGATCCGAGAACTTCTGCCACAATTAAGTGCAAAAAAAAGGAAATTTAGACACGTGGCACACAATTCTTACGTATGTAAACATCTCACACCTAAACTTTCATATTTACATGTATAGCAATTTAATGTTTTAAATTTAAGCATGAGAATGTATCTTTCACTTTCCAAAAGTGAAAATAATATTATTTTTGATGTGATATTAAAATATGTCTGTTACAAGAGTAAATGTATACACCGAAACTACCAGCACGAATCTCAAAGACAACGAACGGGTGAGAATACGAAGTTTCCCTTCAGAGTAGGCGATTGACCGATAATTCAAAGCCGAGCATGCAAATCTGCATCTCTAAACCCGGAATAGGTCAAAGCTCCGGAGATGGTCCCTACTCAATAGCGGTAAGATCCGCCAAAAAGTAAGACGCAAATCACCTCGACAGCGGGTCTCATTGGATACTCCGCACATACAACGAAAAGATCCACTCAAGACTTTGCGAGAGAGAAGATCCATCTGGCATGGCAAGTGAGTCGCGGCTAGCTCAACAAAAAGGGTCGACCCATCAGTCAATCGCTCGACCGAAGCGCAGGTCCCATAGAACCAACTGGCCAGACCACTTGTCAAGAAGGTCGACCTTATTTAACCAGCCGATTACCCCCTCTTGGCAGAGATAGATTCCGGTCGGCCGACCGACACATTGGTCATCCGCCGGTCGACAACCTTCTGTTGAGAAAATTAGGGCGAAGAAAAACTAGAACGACACAAATCCAGAAGAACACAGAGATTTAACGAGGTTCGGCAAAGATGCCGGGAGCAGAGCGGCGAGTTCCTTTCAATATTCAGAAAAGGGTTACAGAATAGAGGGTTACCTCCTGGGGTTACTAACAGGCCTATTTATAACCTCAGGAGTAAACCTAGGCACAATATGTAATTATGACATTACCCCTGTATCATACCGCGGGGCTTTGCCCCCGCACCCCAACCCACGTAACTTCCCAATTTGGACAGATTCTTCCGCTCCGCTCTGCTCCGCTTCAATCCAGCGTCTG